ATCCCTACCAAACACACTCATATTTAGTAAGATGACACATTTCATTCTATGTCATAAAATTGATGATGTCATTAATATTGTGGATTTATTTTTTAAAGAATAGTGCGCTTACATGGGGTACTTAGGGGTATTGTATCTGATAAAGATGTTAAGTTCCTTAGTCATTTTTGGAAGGTTTTGTGCAGTAAGTTAGGAATTAAGTTATTATTCTCTACAACTTGTAACCCACAAACGAATGGGCAAGTTGAGGTTGTTATTATGACTATGATACAGTTATTACGTACTATAGTCAATAAGAACTTGAAGAGTTGGGATGATTGCTAGTCATTCATAGAATTTGCATATAATAAGGCTGCATTCTACTACTTTTTATACTCCATTTGAAATTGTTTATGATTCTAATCCACTAACACCTTTAGATTTAATTCATTTACCTGTTGATAGAGAGGTAACTTAAAACAGAAAAAGAAGGCCAAGTTGGTAAGATCCCTCCATGAGAAGGTACGGTGCCAGATTGAGAAGAAAAACGAACATTTCGCTTCTCAAGTAAATAAAGGACGAAAATATGTTACATTTGAACCATGATATTGGGTTTGTGTACATACGAGAAATGAACACTTTCCGGCTAAAAGGAAATCAAAGTAACAACCTAGAGGAGATGGACCGTTTCAAGTGCTTGAAAAGATCGATGACAATGTCTATAAGTTGGATCTTCCAGGTGAGTATAACATTTCTGCTGCTTTCAATGTTTATGATCTTTCCTTGTTTGATGCAAGTGGAGATTCGAGGACGAATCTTTTTGAAGAGGGAGAAAATGATGAGAACCGTGGCACGGGAGTTAGCGAGGATAAGGACCCGTTGACCGTGGAGGAAGGACCAATGACTGGTCATGAGCAAAGAAGGTCAAAGAAGTCATGAGATTGTTTGTTCAAGGTACGATGGATGAAACATTGATTACAACAAGCAGAATGACAAGTTTCATATTGGGCTTGGAAGACGAAACAAGATAGATCAGCTTAGTTTAAACAATGGACAAGGACGTTGAAGATGAGACCCATGCGATCGCAAGCCTTGCGATCGCATGGCTCCATACGGAACACAACTGAAGGCAGTTGAAATGGCCTATGCGATCGCATGTAAGTTCACTATGCGGTCGCATAGTACAATTCGGACGCGTTTTTTTTTCAAATTTTGTCTAAACTTCTATTTTAGTTAAAACTCATTTTATGGTATCTTTTTTTATATCTTTTAGGCGTAATTCACTTTTTAACTAGGTTTTCTGGATTTCATATGATTGTGAATTTGTGATTATTTTATTCATTGTAAAAAACACACAATTGGAGAGATACTATTGCAAGACATATTGCTTTTAACTTGTTCTTTATTAAATTAATTTCGAGCTTATCAAGAATTAAATTTTTATGGTGTTCAACAATTTAAGGTTCATAAGTTTTGTGACCACATGGTCAAGATATCATTGCCGATTGTCTTGATTCTTTGGTTTAATAATTTATTATGTCGAGCTTTTCAAACGTTAAGTATTGGCTTTCTAGGATTTGATCTAATCTGTTGTAAGTTTCGCAGTTTCAATTATGTGTGTTCTCATCAATTTATGTTATTTTAATTTGTTCACCTTAATATTCACCGAAAATAAGTGGATTGGACTCATTGTCTTGAGAAATTATCATTTAAGGTCTTTAATGCTTGAATTTATATTTTCTAGACAATCAATCGGATCGTATAATTTCGAGATAGTGATACTATAAAATTGTCCAGGTAATTTTGTTTCTCTCGACAGTTTAACATTATGAACTGATCAAAATTTCAAATTAATGAACTTCACGTATGAAATGTTTTTTCAGATATGGTGCGAAATTGGGTTAATTTCACAAATGGTCACTCAAGTTACCTGAAAATTTCAAAACGGTCACTGAAGTTTCAAAATATCAGAAACGGTCACTGAATTTTTAGATTTTTTGGCCAAGTTTGAGACAATTTTTCGCCA